TTTGTTGGCTTCTTAAAGATGCTGCAAATGCCCTTTGGCAATGGCACCCTACATAAATATCATGAGATGAATTTTTCAATTAAGTTTCAACATGAAGCTCGTACTCTTTGATTGACAACCACTCCAAAACCATTTTACTCTTTTGCAGTTTGCCCTTGGCGATAGAAATTGATATGACGTTCTTATACTTTAGCTATGCTAAGTGACAAGGGCAAATTGGAGCTGTCTTGAACTTTCTAATAGTTCCATTGCATTCCTGCATCCTAAAAATAGCTGGTCTAGACACTCAAAGACAAACTTGTCTGATTCCACAAATAACATAATTTAAATATGAAAGGCATGGATAATACACATAAAATGTTGTGGGATTTGCATTTGCAAAACGTTTCAGTCATTTGCTTTGTATAAGATGCTTTTATACAAACATGCATTCAAGCTGCACATTTTTACAGTATTTTTTTAAACCCATGACGCTGATGTTGCTGGCACCATTTTCTACCAGTGGCGCACACAGAAACAATTGAACCACTGAAGAACACTTAAGTTAATTATGTTCTAGTATCATCTGGTAAACATTTTTGGGCAGAAAATGTAAAATTTTCAGAAAACTGATGCGGATTCATTTGCATCTATTATTTTTAAGTATGCTATTTGCAGTTACAGTTATTTTCTATGAATTAACAAAACAACTCAACAAAAGAAAAAATTTACTGCAAAGGCGTATAAATCTTGTTAACCAAATGTTTATTGTTTGGCGAGTATTCGTTAAGAAAATATGTCATTTTAATCCCACTTGCTGAAATAGTCTTGGTTATTTTACAGAGCTAATCTGTACAGTGTTCATGATTCTGAGCAGAAGTTATTTAGATTTATTATTGTGTGCACATGCAGACTTGTTAGGTTCCAGTTTAACTTTGTTATATTTGGTTTGAAGCTCCATAAAAACGTTTAGCGCATCTTTATCTCTTCTCAGAAGTAGAAAAATATAAAGTAATCTGTTTACGTCATATAGGACCAATCCTGTGGGATTCTAGCAGTGCAGTGCAGCTCTATTAATCAAACTGATTGTGTATGATACATCTCTGTTCTCTCTCATGTTTTTAATGATACTGGGGATTTCTAAGGCCTTTGATTGATTGCATTCATTGTTGTGATGCATTCTTATCAATAACTCTGATTTTGGTTGACTCAACTCGGAAATGTTCAATTTACAATCAAGCTGATGATGCCAGGAAGGAAATACAGCTGTAGAAGTACCCTTGGGAGGGTCTCTGAAATTGCACAGTTGTGACATTTCCAGAGTTGAATCAACAAATTGAGAGATTGAGTCCTCAGACACAAGTTCGTAATATCATCAACATTAAGGGAATGTTACATTGTGATACTTTCATGAATATGTTACACTTTGGTGTCTCATTATCTTTTTTTTTTTTTTTTTGTCTTGAGACTAAGAAACTCATATTCAAATGCTTGTTTAATTATTTTAATTACCAAAAACATAATATTTAACTCTTTCACATGTTGCATTCAATTGCATTACCACATTATTTCCACCCCCTAATTACAAAAAATAATTTTGTAATCATCATTTCTTCTTCAACATGACAAAGACAAGTAAATATTTTAAAATTGTACACATTGATGGTACACTCTGAATGTTGTGTTGACTTAAGCACAGTCATTCATCTTGGTTACTAATATGATTGCATAAAAATGAATGTATTAATTATTATTCTTTAATTCTAAGACTGTGATAAATTACAATAGACTTGCATGATGTCTAACCCATTCTGGCACATTTCACTGAAAATTCATTATTTTACTGGCACTAATCCATAAAAGGTGCCAAGTGGAGACATTAATTATCAGATCACTGAAGAAAATAAATAGTTAAATTAGGATGGATATTAGCCTTCTTTTTGAAGGCTTTCCTTTGTCATTCACTGCATTGCGTGGGACTCAGACGTCTGTAATATGCACGCATCATTATCTTCCACGCATCATGCCCCGAGTCCATAGTACAATAATCAGCAACCAGCGCAGATGCAAACTAACAATTCTACCCATGGCAGAGTCACCCTAGAGCTGACCCTCAGAATATCTCACAAAATGCTTTCTGCTCTCTCAGCAGGAGTTTCTTCTCTGGCCCCATTTCCTCAGCATGGTGACACGCTGCAGCCAGATGAGCGAACACAACTCATCCTGTAACGCATTTATCAGATCTCCTCCTCCATGCCATCCAGCTGAGAGCTACAATGATACATCATTTGGGCCAGAAGCCCTTGTTAGCATCACGAGATGGTCATCTCAGCGAGAGGCTGTTTTTACCATCACCATAATCAGAGGTTTTCTATATACCCGCCCAAGGATAAACACATGACTGTTTAAACTCACTTTATAAGATCTGGCTTAAGCAACTTTGGAGCCCACAGCTGGGAAGGCCAATTTTCTGGTCCCTTCACCTGTAGACAGAATGCTGGCCTGTTCTGATTTGGCTGTTTTGGACTTGCCAGACAAGACTGGGTTTCCATTCACAAGCGGCTCACCGCTAGAAAAGCAATCTCAATGCTTTCGAGTCCTTACATTGTATTTTGGATTTGGTTTCATCACCATGAAATGGTTTTATTTTAAAACTGCCATTCATTGTGAGACTATGCAAAGGAGCTTTCGCTATCCGTCAGGCACATTTATCTATGGGCTATTTCATGTAAAAACACACACTCATCGTCAGACATGTTCTGACTCTGAGCGCTGTGAATTTCTCACCTCACTGGTGTGACTGTCAGTACTCAATAATTGAGATGTCTTAAAGATTGATTTTTCAGAACTTGTTCAGGGAATGTTGTGTTTAGTACAGCCCCAGCTAACAAAACTATGTCCTAGGAGTGTTTTGCTAATGTTCCCATTAAGTTATGATAATGCTATTTCTGAATATTCTCAGTTCAGAACGACTAGCTTTTAAAAATATTTTTCTTGGTTATGCAAATGTTAAGGGAACATTATGTGAACGCAACTTTTTTTAATGGATTTCCAACTAAGAAAAAAAAATGTTCAGTGAAGGTTGTAAAAATGTATTTGAGGGGAGAATTTTGGGAACATTATAAAATGACTGAATGAATGTTCCATTAGCGTTACTGGAACAATGTTTGTTTAAAACTTGGAGAGAACTTTGCCAGATTACCTTAGCAAAAGTTCTGAGAACATTCCCTGCTAGATGGAGTAGTTTTCTAGATGCCTGTTTGACTACAAGCATTTATTCTGAAATTAGAATAAATCTAAAATTAACAGTAAATTATTATGATTGGACAATAGAAAGAATTTAAAAACACTCTGATTTGATTATTACAACTCTAGATTCTTTATATTGTATTTCACTTTCTGTCAATCACTTCTGTCATAGTGTTAATTTTTAATTGTTCTATAAAAACAGTCTCAAACAAACTGATAAATTACAGAGAAACTTCCCAAAGAAAACTCATAGCCCTATGAGTCATGTGTCTCTATAGTGTTTCAAAATGTCTTAAACTGACTTCAAATCTGCCAAGAATATGAACTTACAAGATTCAAATAAAATTTGTTCAAATAAAAGCAAACAGCTTTTATAAATCAACTAGCTACACAGAAATATGCCTAGTATATTTCACAAAGAAACAGCAAGTAACACATTGCATTAAAGGGATAGTTCACCCAAAAATGAAAATTCTGTCATTAATTACTCGCCCTCATGTCGTTCCAAACCCGTAAGACCTTCGTTCATCTTTAAAACACAAATTAAGATATTTCTGATGAAATCCAAGAGCTTTCTGACCCTGCATAGACAGCAATGCAACTACCACGTTCAAGGCCCAGAAAGGTAGTAAGGATATCGTTAAAATAGTCCATGTGACATCAGTGGTTCAACCTTAATTTTATGAAGCGAGAATACTTTTTGTGCACAAAGAAAACAAAAATAATGACTTTAGTCAACAATTTCTTCTCTTCCATGTCAGTCTTCGATGTGCGTTCACTAGAGTACCACAACGCATGCGTGTGATGCTGCCGATGCAGAAGCCAGCATTCTGACACGGAAGAGAAGAAACTGTTGAATAAAGTTTTTATTTTTGTTTTCATTGCTTCACAAAATTAAGTTGGAACCACTGATGTCACATGGACTATTTTAATGATGTCCTTACTACCTTTCTGGGCCTTGAACGCGGTAGTTGCATTGCTGTCTATGCAGAGTCAGAAAGCTCTCGGATTTCATTAAAAATATATTAATTTCTGTTCCAAAAATGAACAAAGGTCTTACAGGTTTGGGAAAACATGAGGGTAATTAATTAATGACAGAATTTCCATTTCTGGGTGAATGTGAACTTTTGAAGTAAAAAGACACTAATAGTATTTTAATATAATCTTTGTTTTCTTTTCAATTTTTACAGTATATAAAAGACCAACCTATGAGCAATAAAATATTTTCTTTTCTTTGGCTCTGTCTCTCAAGATGTTTGGTTTAACGTTCCTAATTCCCATTGTTTGCCCTTAAATTCATAATTTAAAGTGTTTATTGCTTGATCGATATTCATTTCAACTTTCAGACTGCAAACGAGATATTGAAAACAGCACAGATTGAAGTTTAATCCATTGCAATGCCAATGGTCACGCTTTTTGCGCACAGCTCTCAAAGCATCATTATTGTCTTGGAGCATCACTTCATCAGAGGATGAATGGACAGAGGACACACTGGAAATAGTGTATGGTTATTCTGGGAAAATGTGTGCTTGTATTTTTAGTTTTCTAGTTTCTTCTTTGTGACTGCAATCCTTGACGTAGAAGATAAGTCTTGACGTCCACCCATCCCAATACGTAAGACAGTCTTCTCCTGTGTCCTCTCTCTCTCTCTCTCATCCCACTCTCGCGCACACACACACACACACACTTGTAAAACAGGGGGTTAGGGGTTGGACCACAGGGAGGGGTGTGTCTCTATAAGACGACCGAGCAACAGCATCCTCTTAGGAAACAAACAGAAGCAGGCGATAGGAGAATATAGCCGCCTTCAGTTTCAGCAGATCTGCTCAGGACAGGTGCCTGAACCGCACACAACTCAGGTAGGCTGACTGAAGGAAGAAACACTTTAAATTCACATCAATTTACTCAGGTCACTTTGCACGAATCTGTTAGCTGATTATTAGTAATTTAGCATTAAACGGATAGTTTACTCATTTACTCATCCTCATGTCCTTCCAAACCTGTAATTAAAATACTTCTGTGTTATATCTTCATTTAAAAGAAATTCATTCAAGTTTTGAACGACATGAGGGTGTAACTGAGAATATTTTCATTTTCAAGGTGAACTTTCTTATTAGCTCAGGAGTTTAATTTATCAGTAACTATTTTGTCCACTTTTATCAGCAATTATTAGTTGACCACATGCAAGAAGTTTTACATTTTTTCCACATAATTAACTGACAAAGCATCAAATTATGTATAAAAATGATGGTTTATGGCTGTTATACATCTTCTGAAACCTATTTATGTGAATGACAGGGACATATTTTTCACTTTGCTCTCATAATTGTGTCATCGATTGATACATAGTGAAATCAATGCATTTCTGTACAGGGCATAATCCAGGCTACTATAGACCCAATTTAATTTTAGGGAGAAATTTACTGTACTCTGGGGTGTTTAATTCAGCTGAGAGGAGTATTGGCAGTATTGTGAAATATTTTTGAAAAGGAGCTGACTTTTGGTGCACAAAATGCCTGGCACCTGCTCCATTGATGGACCATTACCATGCAATTTTCTACTCTTTGGCCAGTGCCTATAAATGTCTTATTTGCTAGAGTTAGTTTGGATTTAGTGCTCAGGTTTCAAAATTAAAGAGAGACACATAATTGTTCGTGGATTTCACATGAGGTCATAATGAATTAGCTTATAAATATCATGGAGCAATTCTGCCTTGGGTAATTCGGAATGTAACTTTCTGATGTTGCACTTTGCTAGATAATTTTATACTTGTTCTATATCACAGAGTGTCACTAAAAGCTTGGTTGGAGCTGAGATTGCAAGAATTGTGGCTATGATCATAAATAAAAAATTGGTAATACTATTTTTTAAAAGAAAGAAAGAAAGAAACACTGGCTGACTTTTAAAAAAAAGTGTTTTAAAAATGTGATTCCTTCTATGCAAATTTCTATTGATTCCTTCTATGCAAATTCTTAATTTTGTATGTTATATAAGAATATTACATTTAGGTGATTATGTAATAATGATGGCAAAAAAAACTTTTGTAAAGACAAATCCACATGATGATTAATAGAAAATTTTCACAAGTACGATACAAAAACATTAAGGAGAGGTACAGCTAGGATTTTTGAATCTAAGAATAGTCAGATTATTCCTTGAAAGGCCCTGAGGTAAATGTATCGGCTCATCCAAAACTCGTGGCACAATTTTAGCCACTGTGAAATTGACTCGATTAGATGTCCTTGCGGTGCTTTAAAATATCCTGATGCACAAAAGCATAATCATAAGCATAAAAGCAAAACATATCAGCATAATCACAATTAATGACTGGAAATATTTTTAAAAAATAATTATAATCCAGCCTTTAATAAAAGATTAAGTGATCTAATACATACCGAGGCACATACTATGAAGTATTTTAAAATAGCATAAATTACCAAAATTCCACATATAAATAAAAATAAAAAATCTTTTGTTTTTGGCTTTTTTGTTATATATAGATATGAAAAGTACAGTATATATGAAGGACATAGGCACTGAATCCTGAAAAAGCCTTGTTTGGAGACGGATGTGCAGTGCAGTGCAGCAGTGTGATGTGACTCAGATTTATGCTTTCTTTCATAAAAACAGGTGTTCTAAGTAGTTTATCTACCATCTTCCATATTTTTTCTCAGCTATTTCAATGTATCAGACTAACATGACTGTTTGATACTGGACTACGAAAAGCAATGTTAAACTGCATTGGTGTGAAGGACTGCACTGCAGGAGGAGTTAAGTCCTTAATGATATTTCATCAAGGAGTTTCTCTGCCCTTAAAGTCAGTTTAACAACTGCATTCAATACGGCAGATGAAACAATTACTTTCACATCACAAGCATGAAAACAACCATTTTGATTAGATAATCTATCCCTATGTCATGTACGTCAATGCAAAGCCCGCCCCGATGGCTGTGTTTAAGTGTGGTGAATCCATCCTTCCCAGCTATTGATTATTTAGCATCAAAGAAACAGTTGTGGTCATTGGCCAATTTTGCATTCAATTTGTGGATGCATTTATCTACTATTGAGTTTGCAGGTGTATGTGCCCAAAATTTGTCTTTGACCTTCATGGGCTGCAGCGGCCCTACTGAGACATACAGGTGAAGCTGTCAATCTGTGTGTTTGCCACTGATGTGAGGTTTTAATTGTTTCAGGAGAGATCTCAACAACATTGCTCATATTGGCCAGGAAACCAAATGGATCAAACATTAGAGATCACAATATAAACTTAAACATTTCTCATCAGATTCTTCTAAAGCCAAATTATATCTGCACAGTTATCCACCTTCATTTTGAAGCTCTAGACTCTCACTGTACACCAACAATTGTTTCATTTTTATTTCTCCTAAGGAATTTAAAGAGAAACATAAATTATCCTTAAGTGAAGCCTAACTGAGACTCACCAATGCTATGTAAGAGCAACATATGAGCAATAAAATGTTCCTCACTGGTCGTTTCATTGACATGTTTATAGCCAATAATAATGACACTTTTACACATCAACTATTGGATACTAAAGGCTCTTAGGGTTAATAGTGTATTAGTAATAATGGTCATTGATTTCTTCTTTTCAAACTTATCTAATGTGTCATGCTTGAAGGACATTGACATCATTAATCCAAACCAGGTACAGCAGTTAGCGTCATATAGTCTCCACCCTAACGGCCAGCTCATTATGATCATATTCCACTATTTCTTTAGTTTATGGTGGTAGTGTCATATTCCTCTATATGTCATCGGAATTACGTATTTACAGCAGTTTCTCAAAGCTTTCCATCTGCAGTTGCACAATTCTGGTCTAATTAAATACAGCAGTGGATTGCCCGTCTCCGCCACTGAGAACCCCTCTGGTATTTAACTTTGATTATGACGTGTTTGATTGAGAAATAAGCTGTGCAAATCAGCCCCATTTACCTCTGGAGTTTAATTGAGCCATTGAGTGTTTTTAGCCAACCGTATTTGGCATACACTGAATATCTCAGGAGACAACACATCTGAAATGATGGACAATATCTCAACAGGAGCAACTGGTGATGGAGACGGGAAATGAAGCAGAACATGGAATTCTTTCCACTTGCTATGTTTACTGGACAATGTCTGTCATTTCTCATCATGATATTTATGAGCAATGACAGAAATGCTTCATTGTACACATTAGAAGACGGTTCACAGGGTCTTATCTCCTTTTATCTAACTGGAATATGGAACAGAAGCTGACAATGGAAGGTGGATTAAAATATGAAATGTATGGGTGAAATTAACACTTAAATTGTGCTTACACAGCTGAGTTTAAACTGCTCAGAGGAGACTGTGTGTCTGTGTCAGATTCTGCATAAAAGCCATACTAAAATATGCTGCTCTGATCCACCTAGTCCCTAGTGTCTGATGCTGCTTTTCAACTGTAAATGTAGATAAAATGCAGCTGAGTATATATTTAATTTATAGTTACATACTTTTAAGCATTTTAATTTTTATTTATCATTTCATCCATCATTTCATGTTTTGTTTTTTTGGAAACCCACTTCAGAACAAAACACAACAGATTATTGTGAGACAAAATTTAAAATAAGGAATAAATCAACATTGTGAGAGATGGTCATATTGCAAGATATAGTTTTAATTATGAATTCGACAGTGAGCTATAGAGTCACACTTTGCGTGTAACAAAGGGAGTCGTGATGACGAACTGGGAATGCAATTGCAGGCTTTATTAAAAGAGCGTAGTCAGGACAGGCAGGTTAAGACACCAGCAAACAATCACATCCAAGGCACAGGCAAAAGAGTAATCCAACAAGACAGGCAATGGTCAGGGCAGGCAGCAGTCAATCAAAAACAAGGTATCAGTCCAAGGATCAAAACACGAGAAAGGCTAAACTAGGAACATGGAAACTAGGAAACACGGAAGGGCTAAACATTCAATCACCAGCAAAGAGAGGCTGCGTTCCACTCCACTTTTAGACACGCACTGGCAAACTTCCCTAAGCACTTCCCCTCTGGGGAATCCCCGCTGCCATTTTGAAGTGCGTTCCACTTTGTGAAGTGAACGAGGAAAGTTTATATGGACAGACCCTTGACCCCTCGATTTTGACTGAGGGAGCGAGTCTGCTTCATAAGCACACTTCAGGCCGCTCCATAGACAACAATGCACCACGATTGTGACATCATCGCAGATCGCGTTTAATTTATCCCCACCCCAAACAACTCTTTAATATCTACATTTTTTTTTTTTACATTTATAAAAGCCCAAGCATACCTATATACATATAGAATGCTGCACCAAACAAATTCGTAAGGGGAAAAATGTAAACAATAAACCAACTCTATAGCAGATTCTAAGTAGTCAAGGGCTTAGGACGTTCCAGTTCAGCCCATTCCAAGGGTTCTGTCAGTAGTGGGCACTAGTGATGTTCGGTTCTTGAACGAATCGGTCTTTTGAGCCGGTTCTCACTGGTTCTCAGGAAGTAACTGGTCGAGCCGGTTCACATATCGAACTGAATCGAACTTTAGTTCCGGGTTGATGACGCAGGACGCATAGCCGAAGTAGCACGTCCAGCTCAAAAAGAACCGATTGAGCCGGTTCAACCAACTGTCGAAGTTTGCCGAGGATTACCGAGGACTCAACAAGAACCGAATGAGCCGTGGCGAAGTTTGCCGAGGATTACCGAAGATTCTGATGAGTGAGTTGATGATACTGTGCAAGCCTGAGGCGCGTACTGGAAATATGCTTATTATGACTGTTATTATTTACATTTTATTAAAACCTGCAAAATCCTTTGATGTAAATAAATTTTACAATAGTTTATTGTGCATGCATATTATA